AACCTCGGGCTTCATTCTTTCCTTACATAAATGTTTGTACGGAAATAAATGAGTGTACTTGACACTGAAGCGTCAGGGCGGCGTCGATCATTTGCGATCATCAGCCACTGTGGAAAAACAAACTATGTCATTGGACACGACTGTCGTTCCAATGTCGTTACTAATGGTATTTCATTACTTCTGATTGGTTGGAACTTAGTGCATTTCCAACTACGTGTAGCAAAACATCGAAACGAAGGAACTCTACTTGTGCTCCTGCTTTGAAATGAACCTTTTATTTGAATAGTAAGCGGAATGCCAATGAACTCTCTTACTTGTTCTTAAGCTGCAAGTATTGATATCATAATACCGATAACAATATCAATCAACTGAAAATGAGAGTCATGCGAAAGAAGCAAAGAAAATAAAATCTTGGCAAGGTCAAACAAACTAAGAATAAAACAATTGGTTAAACAAAGAGAAAAGTGTAAGTGAAAGGCGTCACATGCGTGTCATGCCAACTTTCCTGTTGACATTATCAATTTGCCAAGAAACATCTAATCTAGTAATTATAAAGAAAACTGTGTCCATCTCTGTCATTTAAGGTTTTTATCAACATGAACAAAACTCACGGTAATACCGTTGAATAACGTTGCTAGAATCTGATAAGTAAATACTTTTGTGGGATGTGTGCTTCAACGCTAAACATTGAGCTTTAAATCGATGGTTATAAAGGTAAGCTAGGTCGGAGTTAATGTCCATGTAACAAGCAATCATGTCAAATAATGAGCATTCCAGTGTCTTAGGTTCCATGATATGAAAAATAGCTCAGAATTTCAAAAATTGATTAAAATTAAAATCCAAAAAGGATTAAAATGAGGAGTGGCCGTCTTTGTGTTGAATATATTGCATGATTGTATTTCAAAGAAAAAAACCGGTGCCATCGATCTTGCATTAAAAGCCTCAATGGCTTTGAAGTTCGCTTGTCCTGACATTTCAATGCGTAACAATGATGTATTCTGATCAATTTTGTTTATTTAAATACGGAGTTGAGATTTCTCCATGATGCTTTATTTCGATTTCAAATCAAATACGAAGAACCAATCTTTCTCATTGTATACCTCACAGCTTCGTAATTATCATAATTCATTAGATCAATTGAAACCCATTATGTTGTCCGAGTCCACCTCATTAGTATAAGCCATATAATGCTTATATAATATCAAGACAATTCCCTCACATTTGAAGCATTGGTATGCTCCCCTTCAGTCGGTTGTAAAATGTTGTATGTAAAATCTGCTTTTCCGGTATCACACAAGCAGAAAAGTTGAATTCACGGTTGTCGTCAAAATGTTCGATCCAAATTTCTGCCTGCTCGAAAGGAGAAAAGCAGATGGCCGCTTTTCGGCCGCCAACGAATGAAGAAAAATTAAAATCTGCTTTTCTTGAAGCAGAAAAGCAGAAAAATAGAAAAATGCATAACCAAAAAATGTTCGTTCTGCTTCTGAGTTGGCAGAAAAGTGGAAAAGTCGAAATTGCATGTTACCAGAACATAAAATCTGCTTTTCTACCATTCTGATAGCAGAAAGGCAGATGGCCACTTTTCGTCCTCCATAAACCATATTATAGCCAAACCTAATGAATGTGTTGGCCCAACCAGCACGACCCCCCTAATATATAAGACTATTTTCATCATGTCAATAGCAAGAAGTGAAGAACAATAAGTCCTCTCTATGCCTCTTTCCATTTCACTCTCATAAACCAAAAAGTCTCTATTGAAGGTCAATCATTAAGTCAAACCTTAAAATGTCAATACTTGGATACTAGCATTCACTGTTAACGTTACAGAGGAGCATGGGCGGAGATTTCTTGTCACATGTGGGGGTATGATTTCTGTAAGCTGAGCACGGTCCCCTCCCTGGTGAGATTGTGGCGCCGATATTAAGTGTGTGCGGCGTGGCATACATCGTGTGGACCTCTGCAGAAAATAGCCCACATAATGTAGGGTGTGATGACATTGTATGGACTCGCACACGTCCACACAATGTTTTCCCCTCTCTAAAAAGCAGTTTCAGAGGCACTT